CTGTTTATGCTGAATAACAAAACCCCTTCCCATGGATGGCTGAAAACAACAAGTTGTAAAACATATGAAGTATATATATATATTTCCTATAACCGACCTAAGAGGGTTGGTGAAAACTGATACCTCCAAGTTGCAGTTTTCATCTGGTCATTGGTCACGGTAAGAGATTTATTATCCAATGTGAAGAAATGCTGTTAGGCTCATATTGTGATCCAAATGATCCCAATGTGAAAAATGGTGAGGGATTTATTGCCCAATGAGAGCAAATTCTGTACGTTTCGTATCCCGATGTACATCACCATAAAATGAAGAAAGGTAAGGGATCCATTACCTAACTTGAACAGATGTTCTACGTTTCCCATTACAGTCTGTATCACCACAAAGTTAATAATCGTAAGGGATTTACATAACGATCATCATTGCTACAGATTTAAAGAATAGTAAGAGATTTATTACACAACATGAACAAAAGTTACACATCACCACAAAGTTAAGAATGATTAGGAACTAGTTACTTAACGTGAAGAAAGGGTATATGTTTTACATTACAATCTAATCACTACAGCATTAACAATAATAAGGAATTTATTACCCAACGTGAAGAAATGCTGCAGATTTCATATCCATAAAACTGTATGTAGTTTAAGATCATCACTCAACCTTTAAATGTTATATTTATCGTTCATTATAATGCACTTAATATGATGGTAGCATAAAAAAAATCCTACTAGTTCAATGAAGGTACAACATGACTGAACAAACTGTTTCTAAGAGTACTGTTCAAAAAAAATGTTAACTACTAAGTCTCAATAAGATATTACGATCTATGTCACCACAAAGTGGAGAGACCTCAAGAGCTAAATCTTGACTGGAAAGCCAGATAGCCTCACGCACACTTTTGAGTAGTAAGAATAAAAAGGACGTATGTTTGAATAAATAAACCCTTTATGATACAAACATTTTACCAAACAGTACTAAGAATTTTACGTGTTAATTTTTGGGTAAATTTAGAGACTTTGTCAGATAATCGAATAGACATGTCACTTACATCTCGTCTAACTAATAAAGATGGCAATATTTTACCATATTCTGCCAATTATGTTTGTTTGTTAGTTTTAGAGCAAAGCCACTTTGGTCTAGCTGTTATGTTTACCGCGTGGAATCGAACCCCGGAATTTAGCGTCGTAAGTCTGTAGACTTACTAATCATGAATATGAGACTTAAATTCTTAGGTAATTATTTTTTGGTGTAGCGAACTGATCAATGAT